TATATATCGTCAAATAGAACTGCCCGGTAAACCGTAGGCAGAGAGGGAGAAGAGGACAACAAACGAGGGGCTGTGACAAACTGTTTCGTCGGAGTTTCACCGACTCATCAGGAGGCTGAATATATATATATATATTTTTTATTCCAACTTCATTTTTGACGATCAACCAAAAGTAGTTTACAACTTTACACTGCAATTATCCAAACGGCTTTTCCTCTTATATTCTTCGAGTTCCCAAAAAAAAAGAAACTGAAACCATTCAAAGCCTGAATACCACGTGCTCCATATGGCTGTCTAGAAGCAGGGAATCTTGACACTGAACACCACGTGCTCCATATGGCTGTCCAGATCCGCGCACCTTCCTTTTTTGATAGAGGGTAGCCCCTAACATTATTATTGTATTACTATTCATCTGATTCCATCAGGATTTGAAATTCACAATCTGTTTATCAACAGTTACATGTGTACCATTCAGCCACATGGACTGGGTGGCTTAGCCATGAAAAATCAGAAAATTTTTCAAACTTGAAAAAATCCATTTTTTCAAGTTTTATGTCAGAGAATGGCTGCAATAGCATCAGTTCACCACTTGGCCTAGCTCAGTCGGTACACCTATCAACTGTTGAAACTTGAAACACAGACCTGAGTTCGAATCCCGATGAAATCAGCTAAGTAAATTTACTAAATTACCTCTGAGTTTACCTGGAGCCTTTCAGTTTAAAGATGATATCTCAAGGCCATCGCCCTTTTAAGGGAAAGGGGAAAAAAAAACCGGAATAGCATTAATTCCTTGAGCTATCAAGGAAAGACGGTGGAAGACAGAGAGAAGCATGCCCATGATGGCATTGCTGGATAGCACACATTGCAAAGAAACTATTAAAATTAGTCAATCGGCAAGGGATAAACTACTCCATGGTACTCACATATGTGTGCTGAGTCTCCTGGCACTCTTCCCACATCTCTATCTTGTTTTACGTTCTCCTCCTTTGTATCGACATGTCGTGCCTCTGGGAATCCCTTTGTGAGCCCAGCTGGTGACAGAGAGGGGGTCCATGGCTCTCCTTCGGGCGATGCTGAACGCCTTTGCTGGGGCCAAAACACCCCCAAGTACCACATACCTTGCAGTGGATACTGCAGATGAATTCGGTAGATAATCCATCCATTCCGTTTCGCTATCCCACAAGAAACTGCACTTCCATTTCCAAGGTTGTGCTTGCTGCAATCAATCTCAGCTCCATGACTACCGCGTCCATTCAAATTTACTTCCCAAGGCGGAACGACTCCTACATCAAAACTCTGTGCCGTTGGAACTGCACCATGACGAGCATAAAGCTCTGGCTGAAAAATCCAATTCGTTTGTTCTGATCGAGCAGCACCCATTTTCTCATGCTCACAGAGTGGCATTCTCATACCGCTGCAATTCACTCTTAGCTCTGCAGTAAGCACTGTGCCTGATGTTCCGCTAGCCACATGAAAAGAGAAATACCTCCAAATGTCAGCAGCTCCAATGTTTGCCCCTCTACTGCCTGGATTGCCCTGCCCTGCTGTCCCAGGGAAAGAGGTTGCAGTGCCATTTGCATTTCCCTCCATATTTGCACCCAGCAGTCTCCTCCGATTTGATGGCAAATGATACGGACGGATGTCAAACCACCCCTCCGGTGGCGACCACTGTGATGATTTCAGAGACTTCGGCACATAGTGAGAGTCCATATATGATTCTTCCAGTTTTCTTGCAAGAACTCTCTGACAGAAAGGTCATTCAGAAACTGCACATCAGTATGCATTCAGAAGTCTTACAATGTTCTCCCCGCCCTCTCTCTCTCTCTCTCTCTCTCTCTCTCTCTCTCTCTCTCTCTCTCTCTCTCTCTCTCTCTCTCTCTCTC